CACCATGCCATCACGTGCCAAAAGCGGGGGAAGCGCAGAGGGGTCACACACACATGCACGGGGGCAAGGCACATAGAATTATGGGTGTGGGCAACCCCCCCACACTCCCCCCGCTTTTGGCATGCAATGGCAAAACGGTTAGCCATCGCTGGGCTAACTATACTAACAGTGAGACAAGAAAATATATTAAAAAACCATTCAAACGTAATGAAAACTCTAATAAAAACATTAATGACCTTCTAGGCCTATCATCTCTATGTATCTTTATCTATCTCTATCTATCTCTATCTCTATCTATCTACCTATATCCCCCCTCTCATCCATCTCTCATCCATCACTCTTTCTCATTCTTTCTATCATCTATCTAATCTACCTACCTACCTACTTACCTACTTACACCTAGTTATCATCTGCCATCTATCATCTATCTGTCTGTCTGTCTGTCTGTCTGTCCATCCATCCATCCACCCATCTATCCATCCATCCATCCATCCATGCATCTATCCTTGAACTCCATTCTTTGTCCACATGTAGCAGATTGCAACTGGCCCTTTAAATCATCAGCCTGCCTAATATGCCCAGGGAAAATAAGGGGAAAGTCCTATCAGATTTTTGGTGGGAAAAGTTTAGATTGTCTTTGGAGAGAGAGTGAGGTGGAGTCCTGGATGAAGAGTTTTACCTCAGTCAAGGTATGAAATTGCGTTATTCTGCTACAGTCCCAATTGTGTTGGGGTTTTGTATATTTAAATTGTGTACTAGGGAAAAAAAAAACATCAATCTGTAAACTAAAGTAAAGCTGAGTCTTCATGTCTCTCTCCTTCAATACTGGTGCATGGTTTTTACTTTACTTTAGTTTATTTGATTTGTATACCGCCCTACTCCCGAACAGCCACAAGATAAAAACACATAAATACAAAATTTATAAACAGAATAAAACCGAATTATTCATTATTTTATCCAGACTAGAGGTTAAGAAGTGCCATGAGGGACAAAGAGACTATGGAAATTCATGTTGTGATTTGCGGCCAGGCATTCACTCTTATTTCAGATTAGGGTTATGATTATTTTGTGGCTTAGTTCACATAAGTTCATAAACAGATCAGAGTTCTGTGCTTCAGCCTCTCAGTATGATTGACAGCCCTGTAATTTATGTGTGTTTACCAGCTGAGAACTTCCTTATTTTTTTTTTTGCCATTGGGCAGGATAACATAGAAATGACCTTCACACTTGGCCAATAAAGAATTCTATTCTATTCTATTCTATTCTATTCTATTCTATTCTATTCTATTCTATTCTATTCTATTCTATTCTATTCTATTCTATTCTATTCTATTCTATTCTATTCTATTCTATTCTATTCTATTCTGGGGTGAATGGGACTTAGCACCACGAACTACAAAAGTAGTTTTGTATTGTCTTTTCCATGGATTGTTGCATGTCTTTCATCCCAACACTAACCAGGTGTAGCCAGTGTCTATGATCTGCATGTAAAATTCTCCTCCAAGACAATTGGTGACTAGATTGGTATAATTCATATAGTTTATTAGACATTGTAAATATGTGGTTTACATTTTCTTCTGGGGTGCTTTTCTAGCTAACTTTCCCAAGTCCTAAACTTTCTTCTGCTCCCTTATTCATATACTGACCATCTTTCCAGCTAAACCTGCTTGCTTCTCTCTCTCCTGTTTATTGTCTGTCTGTCTGTCTACCCACCTGTCCAACCATTCTCTATCTCTTTTTTTTATAAACCTTTATTAACATTTAAAATCCAAAAATACAAGTTAAAATACATCTATAACAAAAATACACCCATAATAATTATACAATTCAATGTCATTCTGACAGTACATAATTCTTAACTTTGTTCATCTATTCCTGCATATTCCTACTTAATCAAAATATTTAAACACATTTTGTATCTTATTTTATTCTATACATTCCTTATTTTTAATTTCTATTTAATTTTCCCAAGTTAAGTAGTATTCCAAATCTTCCTTATTATTTAGTTCTAAAGTAAGTTTGCCCATTTCTGCACATTCAAAAATTTTCCGGATTATTGCAGTCTGTTGGTATAGTGCACATTTTCCAGGCTTGTGCGAGTACAATTCTTGCTGCTGTGATTATATGAATAATTAAATATTTAATCGTTTTAGGGTAATTTCCTTTAATAATCCCCAGAAGAAACAGTTCAGGTTTCAATTCTATCTTACAGTGTGTGATTTCTTTTAGCCATTTTTTATATTTTAATCCAGAATTTTTTAACTTCTGAGCAAAGCCACCATACATGGAAGTAGGTACTTTGTACTTGTTTGCATTTCCAGCAATTAGATTTTAGATTGGTGTATATTTTTGTGAGTCGTGTTGGGGCTAAATGCCACTGATAGAACATTTTATACTGGTTTTCTTTATATGTGGCAGATTTTGTTAAAGTATAGTTTTTCTCCCAATTTTTTTCCCAATCTTCTAACTCAATGTTGTGCCCAATATTTTTAGCCCATGCAATCATTGACCCCATTCTCTATCTCTATCTCTTCTATCAACCAGCTATCATCTATCATCTAGCTTTCATGTATTGCCTGCGTGCCTGCTTATCGATCAATCGACCGACCGACCGACCGACCGACCGACCTACCTACCTACCTACCTACCTACCTACCTACCTACCTATTCATCCATCGATACATCTGGCCATCCATCCATCCATCCATCCTCCATCCTCCATCATCTATCTATCTATCTATCTATCTATCTATCTATCTATCTATCTATCTATCTATCTATCTATCTATCTATCTAACATCTTTCTATCTATCTATCATCTATCTATCCATCTAGCTGACTATCATCCATCTAAAGATATACAGTATAGCTTCCCATCCACCAGATAAGCTTAGAGATTGGATTGCCATAGGACCACCTCTCCAATTCTTCTGTCTGTTAAATAGGAATGAGCACTATTGACATTTTCTTTATCCCATCTATGAAACAAAACCTGCACCATTCCAGCTCTGCGGTTAGCTCAAGTGGAGGATACATCTCTATATGTGGTCTACACTCCCTGCCCTACACTGGGTTTCATCTAACTTTACCACAGTTTTATTCTTAGCCAATCTACTTTGACTGTTTTTTCAAAAAGAGTTTGGAGAAGATAGTTCCACAGAATTGCTGAATTGCTTCTGGTTTGTAGGAAATCATGGAATCTTCTGACTTCATCCTGAGACTCATATCGAAGCAAAAAGGAATTATTGGCAGATAACAATTCTCAAAGCAGAAGCAACACCATATTTGTGATGGTAGCCCAGAAACTCAAAAAGTTAAAAGAGGTTTTAAATGTATTTAAAATATGAACCCACAAAGCCCAGAATGTTTCCTTTATTTTCCAAGAGAGGCAAACTGCCTTCTGTTGTAGATGTGAGGGCAAAAGCTTTCTTAGAGATGCAAACCCAGAACCATTTAGTAATTAACATTTAAGAGCCACGGTGGTGCAGTGGTTGGAGTGCAGTACTGCAGGCTACTTCTGCTGATCACCGGCTGCCAGCAGTTTGGCAGATCAAATCTCACCAGGCTCAAGGTTGACTGAGCCTTTCATCCTTCCAAGGTGGGTAAAATGAGGACCCAGATTGTTGGGGCAAGAGGCTGACTCTTAGACACAGACCCTTAGAGAGGGCTGTGAAACACTATGAAGTGGTATATAAATCTAAGTGCTACCTTACTAAACATAGAATCAATCTGACTACCCAGACAGAAATCGTACAGAAAATTAAATTAGCAAAGCAGAAACACTTTGAGCATGCAAACAAAACGGGCGCTGGTTAGCGTATAAATTGAAAAAAGAAAAAGAAAGGAGAACAATATTTCAATTGCAAGACGAAACAGGACAAATATATCATACCAATCTAGACAAAAAACGTATAGTTAAAGATTTCTTTCAAAGTCTCTACAAGGGAGAAGAGATTCGGGAGGAAGACATTAAGGAATACTTATGTAAAACAAAGCACTACTTGAAGTTTTCAAATTGTCTTTATGGACAGTTATAACATAGTTGCAGAAGAAAGATTCACTTTCTCTGGATTAAGCCACAGCCAGCGAACCATACAAATGTCTAAAATAGTCCCTTGCACTTTCATAAGAAAGCCAAAAAAGTTCCGAGTTCCTTCATAGTTTGTCATTAGCTCTTTAGGGAGAGTACACTGAATAAATAATGCTATTTTTTTTCCTTCCATAAAAATTATATAACATTGTTTTAGTTTCAGCTGCTTCTCTTTCTGTCCTCAGTAATATGAAACTCTATGTACAGGCAATGAAGCTATAACAAATGATTTAAATGTAATTGTCTAATACAATATATACATATATATGTAGGAAGAGAGGCCAGTTTATAGGTATTACCACTTGAAATGTTTTCAATCTGATACTTTTCTGCTGGAATCATACAAATTTTTTCACTAAAATGCGATTTCATAAGATCTTGTTGTATCACTTGTCCTCTTTTTGATACAGTTGATTTGACGAATCCTGGTCTCGTGGAGTTACAGATATAGGATTCTCCAGATAGAGTTGAGCTAGAATTCCATTATCTTTCACCATTAGTCATATACCTGATAGAACCTAAGACATTTTGAAGACTACATGTGTCCATCCTTGGCTTGGCCTTTCTATGATGAATGCCTTGAAAAGTGTGAATGTCCACTTTGAAAATTCTCAACAATGGTCCTACTGGCTAGACATCGAAGTTCAAAGATAGAATTGAAGGCCACTCAAGTAGGGGAAGGCCGAAGTAAAACAAGCTAATTAATCATCAGGTTGGAGATACTAGGTAATTACGTTACTTGAAAAATGTTTTTGTATTGCACAAAGATAATTGTCTGCACAAATTGTGGATTCATGCACAAATTAATCAGGATAGAGATCAGTTTCCATTAAATAAAAAAAAGAAATTATTGGTTTGCTTTGAAAGAAATGATTGTATCTTATGAATGACAATGGTGAAATTAAAGAGTTCAGATCTTGGAACCTTCTGAAGTTTCCATTTGATCACTAGAATTTTCTTCCTCCTTGAAAACTTTCTGAAGCAAGTCTTTGATGTTTCGCTGAGTTTTACCCTTCTGTCTCCCCACTAGATAATAGATCAGAGGGTTAATGCTGCTATTGATACAGGTACATAAGTAGCCATAATATAAAAGGTTGGGATGTATATTTTTGAAAACATATAGAATAAAATAAAAGGCATTTAGCGGAAAAGCCAAGACTAAAAAGAAGAAAAGCGTGAGCAAAACAGCTGTCAAAAGCTTCCTCCGCCTTTGGATTTTGGATAGGAAGTAGATTTTGACAAATAATACCACACTGGAGATGGTCATAAGTGGGAGACAAAGCACAGCGTTAACGATGAACTGATACTTCAGGGAATGTTTCAGTTCATATTTATGAAAACTTGCAATTGTGAAGTAAACTAAAGAGAGGATGAAGCAAATGGCCCAGATGGCAGCACACACACTAGTGAATAAATGCGCCGGCCGATGGCATCGATACCAAATTGGGAAAAGGACCGAAACACATCTGTCGATGCTGATGATGGTCAGGAGAAATTGCCCCGTACTGTACATTAACAGCAAGCCCGTTTGGAAGAGTTCATAGGGAAAGTCACAATACAAATGTGTAAAAAACCAGTGGATTTCGATAATCAGCTCAAAGGTGAGGAAACCAAAATCCGCAACAGAGAGGTTGATAATATAAATGGCAAAAGTGTTCCTCTTCACGGAGGAGCCCAGCAGCCAGATCACGAGGCCGTTGCCCAACATTCCCAACACACAAAAAAGCACAGTGAAGATTGCAAAAATAATAATTCCTTCGCCTTTTTCCGGAGAACAGGTTTTATTTTCAGAGTCGGCTATTGTTGGAGGGGGGGATGTCATATTCATTATGCTTCAATCTTTTTTTTTTTTTCTTCTTCTGTGGCTTCAGATACTCCTGTTGGAACAAAAGAGAAACAGTTCCCATTAGTCTTAGTTGCTAAAACTGCATACTGCAAGGTAGTCTCTAGATTAGCAGTCCTGTCCTCACAATTAGCATGTAGGGATGCGGTTTGTATGGTTGAGATAAGGATGATGATTTGGTCTTGCTTATTTGATTAAAAAGTGTTATGTGATCATCTTGATTCATCAAAGCAGTGATCGGTCATGGAAGTCACCTTCCATCTATGGTCCCATATGGTGTGCTCATGGAAAAGGCAAGATTGTGACTTCAAATCTAAGAGTAGTAAATAGTAAGCAACATGGATTAATGAATGGGTGGGAAGGAAGGAAGGAAGGAAGGAAGGAGGGAGGGAGGGAGGGAGGGAGGGAGGGAGGGAGGGAAGGGGAGAAGGAAGGAATTTGGTTTCGGTAAATAAAAAGAGACGGAAAGTGTTAGATCGGTGCAAGACGGAAAGTGTTAGATCGGTGCACTAACGAGAGTCGTTAGTGAATTCAGCACCTTTTTATTTCCAGCAACATGTGATTGCGCTCTGCCGGCTGGGCTGCCGGAACTCTCCTTTTTAAGGAGCTCCAGGCAGACCAGCCGACCAATGACAGCAGGTTAAATCTCCCACGGTCCGGACAGCCAATCGGCAGTGAGCATGAAATCTTATGTAGATTCTAGCCAATCTGTGGCGAGCATGAAAACTTATGTAGATTCCAGCCAATCCGTACATAACAGAAAGAATGTACAAGATAAACTGAAGATCTTCTAATCTTCTGGAATTGATGTATACAGAATGATGTTAACATATGAAGAACAGTTGCAGTAATTGGGTGTGTCTAGTTTAATCTATGATCTTATCTGGTGTTCTCATGGAATATGGAAGATTGTGATTTCAAATAGTAAGCAACATGGATTAATGCATGGGAAGGAAGAAAGGGAGGGAAGGAGGGAGGGAGGGAGGGAGGGAGGAGGGAATTTTGTTAAACTAAAAGAAAGGGAAAGAATGCACAAAATAAAAATGAAGATGTTCTAATCTTCTGGAGCATGCATGCAGGGAATAGGAGAAAAGAAAGAGTTTATTTTATTTTACTAATAAAAATGAATCTGATGATGGATTATGAATCTGTTGCTCCATATTTAATTTTTTTTAACAATATAATTCAAAGGCTTTCCAGTTCTGTTTTTCAGGCCTCCCATTAGCTTTTAAGAACATTTTCACTGTGATTTCTAAATCACTCTGAAGTTGATCATCTGTTTTCACTTGTCCTTAATCATTTTATATGCTTACTTTTTCGAACTATAAAAACTCAATCAGAATAGAGCTAGAAGGGACCTTGGAGGCCTTCGAATCCAATCCCTGCTCAAGCAGGAGATCCTGCACCATTTCAGATAGGTGGCTGCCAAGTCTTTCTTAAAAACCTCCAGTGCTGAAGGACCCCCCACAACTTCTGAAGCAAGCTATCTGTCAGCTTTGGAAGTCATATTAGGCCGGAAGCTCCAATGCTGCCACCTTCTCAGGTGTGGGAAAGTAGGAGAGGGGGTTAGTAGACATAATAGCATTCTTCCTGTCAGTCAAGGTCAGGGCGATCCCGCATCTGGAGAAGGAGTGGTCAGGGGGCTGGATCGGGATAGAACGGACGTTGATTGGAGCATGTGACCAACTGGGTGGAAAAGGGGATGGTTTTGGGCAGGGCTGAAATCTAAATTTTTTTGCTACCGGTTCTGTGGGCGTGGCTTAATTAATGGGCGTGGCTTGGTGGTAAGGTGACTGGGTGGGCGTGGTCAAGTCAATGTCACTTCTTTGCCCTTTTTTAACCTACAAAACACAATACAACACAACTGGCTCACCCACAATGTAAAAGCAGCTGTGCTAGACCCAAAATGGCCACTGCAACAATCAGGACCCTCACACAGCCACAAAAAGCCCCAAAAAACAAGTTTCACACTTTACACACACAAAATTCCACATACAGCTTTGTGAGATTTTGTGTGTTTGTGTAGTTAGAGTGAAAAGCTACAGAAACACACTAAATCTCAGAAAGCTGCACAAATATTATTTATTTTTATTTATTTTTATTTTTATATAAAAGCAGCTAAATTTAAAGCTTCCTAAACTTTAAATGGCTAGGTCTAAAAAAAAAACAACTAAGAAAAACCCCAATTAACTATTTTTTTTAAAGCTCCAAAGGGGAAAAAAAAACTTATCCAATAGAACAGGGGTCTCCAACCTTGGCAACTTTAAGACTTGTGGACTTCAACTCCCAGAATTCCTCAGCCAGCTTCGCTGGGAGTTGAAGTCCACAAGTCTTAAAGTTGCAAGGTTGGAGACCCCTGTTCTATTGGGTAAGTTTTTTTCCCCTTTGGAGCTTTAAAAAAAATAGGCAGGAAGGCAGGCAGGCAGATAGAGCTGCTCACCGATGAGCTTGATTGCAGGCAGGGAGATTCAGTTGCTTGCTGATGCAATGGATTGCAGATAGTACAGCAAGCGAAGCAAGGCAGGCGTTGTGACCAGCAGCTAAGGTAAGCAAGCTGGAGGCTGGAAGCGGGGGAGGGATTTAAAACTTCTTTTATTTTAAATGGGTCTGACGATCCAAGCTGAGTTGCCTGATTAGCATGCAACTCAGCTGGGATCGTCAGAGCTGGGATCGTCGGAGCTTGGATCATCAGAGCCATTTAAAATTTAAAAAAAGGCTCTGATGATCGCGTGGCTCACCTGGGCATGGGGGGCGGGGGCAGGGATTTTTGCTACCAGTTCTCCGAACTGCCCGCCGCCATCTCTACCTACTCGCCTGAGCCAGTCCGAACCGGGAGCAATTCACCCCTGGTTTTGGGAGCTTTGACTTACTGAAGGAAAACCCGGGCTTTTCAGATTCGGGTTTTCCCAGATGTGCCAGTTTGCCTATTTTAGTAAAGAGGACTTTGGAAAATGCTTGCTTCCGCGTCTTTACTTGGAATCGGGTTTTTTCTGGAACACTGACACTGTCCTCACTATTAGGAAGTTTCTTCTTAATTCCAGGTTTCTCTTTAATCAGGCAGAAACTAGAAAAATACCTGTGTTATGGAACAGGACTTGCAAAATACCTACATTTTTTAAAAAATTTGATTTATATGCCACCCTTCTCCGGAGACTCAGGGCGGCTTACAATGCGTTAAGCAATAGCCTTCATCCTTTTGTATATTTTTTTATACAAAGTCAGCTTATTGCCCCCACAACTGGGTCCTCAATTTACCTACCTTAGAAAGGATGGAAGGCTGAGTCAACCTTGAGCCTGGCGAGATTCGAACCTGCAGTAATTACAGGCAGCTGTTCTTAATAACAGGGTGCTTCAGACCACTGTACTACCAAGGCTCAGTTGGGGAAAATGTGCATGAACATCTTTAAAAAAAAAAGCATATACAGAATGTGTACATTAGCAGAAGCTCACTCAAAACATGTAAAATTCTTTGGATGATGATGTTGATGATGAAAATCATCAAGGATTGCATGGGTTAAAAAGCAATCTCAGTCTGAATATGAAATGGGGTTGATATAATCTGAGATGGGGAAAAAGAAGACATGGCAGGAAATAATAATAAAAAAAACCCTCTATACTCTCTCTGCATATTAGAAAACAAGGAAGAAATTTTTTAAAGGGTTTATCTCATCAGGTTAATTATTCCATAAAGCACCTCTATTCAGTGCAAGTATGGAAATATTACCAAGATTATGGTTGGTTTTTAAAATTTAAAATTTGATATTGATTTTAATTGAAATCTTTTAAATTATGGGCCAAACTTTATTTAATTATTTTAAATCTATTTTAACTTTTGTGTACAAATGTTTTATTTTGGCTGTTCACCGCCCTGAGTCCGAAAGGAGAAGGGCGGTATAGAAATCTGAAAAATAAAATAAATAAATAAAATAAAATAAGATGAACAGGTAATATTCAGACTTCAATAATCAGCATCACTTCAGAGCTAACCCAAAGGGAAGATGACAGATCAATACAAACAAAAGCATATAGTTATTTCGACACATTTTGAAATATTTAGGTATTCAAAGTGGCTCCATCAAATTCTTTGGAAACAAAGGTGTATATGATGAAGGGTCATAGACAGAAGAGAATTTAGTAACAAGATTTTTTTTTCTATGAATATCTTACCTTCTCTTTGAAGAAGACTGCTAGAAAAAATCTCCTTCTAGATCAATGCAAGTCCTATTCTAAATGGCAAGATTTTTCTTCCTAATCTCAGTTTTGGTATCAGAGGAGCTGTGACCACCCATTCGTCTCAGAGCAGAAAATTCTACAGAATTGCTTTAGTTCAGGAGAATTGGTGCAAAAACGACACACCCACAGCTGGAGTTGGGTGCACAAGTACGAGGAAATAAGTATATCTTTTTTTGAAATCATCCTTACCAGCAAATGAGGAACTTTTGATAGCAAACTCTGAAAACATCATTATGAGGATGACTGTGTTAATATAGGAAAGAGTAGATATATTGTCTGCCTAGCTGTTAAATGTATTGCAACGATAATAGTTGCTCCATTATGAAGCAGGCCCACAATTTATAAAATTCTATGTGTCTATTTGAACCAATCTGACCTCATCTAGCTACTGTATATAAAAAAGGGTAGTTAACAGGTGAACCAACAGCTGAATTAAACCTCAGACTCCTCGGTTAACAATCTAATTAGTGTATTTAACTTGTAGAAAGGCTACAAGAGCTACCTACAACAGCTACCACAAATCACCACAATCATTCTCTCTGGTCTGTCCAGAGATGGTCTGTCCAGGATCAAATATCCTCATTTGATTCTTAAAAATGAATCTTTTCCTTGATGTTTTAATTGGGATCTTTCCCAACAATTACCCAGTCTCCATAATCATAAGCCCCTATTGTAAATATCTCTGTAGCACCCATTGTTTTGAAAGTCTTCCCATAAGAAAAACACAGCATCTCTTCTTAATTGTTTTCTGG